GGGGTAGGTGATGGGTTTAATGTGGGAGGTGGTGGGCCCCACATATTGGTGTGTTTTAAACAAATGTCTAAATTATCCTTAATTATTGGTCATATGTATATATTTGACCACAATATGATCAAATAATTACTAGATTGTCATTAATGATTGACCATGGTTTGACTTCATCATAACCATTAATATGATTGATCTCATGGTCCAGATTTATTCTCATTTCTTTCACTATCTATTATTCTCATATGATCCCAACTGTATATATATATATTGCGGAAACTGAATATATTGTGTGTTTGCAAATAAAAATTACATGATCGTAAGAGTCCAATTAAAAGAAGATTGTGTCGTGGCTTAAGGTAATTATCTCAAAATTATTTACATGAGGCCCGTAAACGGCCCGGTCAAACTACCGGGTCTAGGCCCATGACTACGGGCCGGTTCCGGCGGGCGCCATGTGTAGGTAGGATAGCATGAAATTTCCATCCAGTAGATATAGACATACAGTATCTGTCACTTTACAGTATCTGTCACTTTACTACAGCGGTAAATTAGTAAAAAATGAAAACTTAAGAAAAAAACAGAGCTCCAACAGAAGTGGGAACCACCACTTATTCTCAGCTCCCACGCACAGAACCACGCGCCAAAAGTAAGTAGATCATTTCATCACCCTTATATTATTCCATAGAGATTCGCGCCTGAGGGACAACAAACAGTCAGGATCACACACAAACAAACCCATTGCACGCTCTCTGTTCTCTGTGCTCACTCACCCCTCAGTCAAAGCGGTCAGCTCAGCACCTTTTCCCACACACTACCACTCTTCCAACTTGAAAAAACCCCTCTCAGACATTTCTTCAGTTACTTGGCGTGCGCGCAGTCAGCATGTCAATGGAGGAGAGGCCGGAGACAGAGCTGATATCGATTCCGGCGACGCCGCGCGCCTCCACGCCGGAGATACAGACCCCATCTGGGCAGCGGTCGCCGCGCGGCGGTGGGAGGGACGCTCCGCCGGGAACGGCACGGTCGTGGACGCCGACGTCGTTCATTTCACCGCGGTTCCTTAGCCCCATCGGTACCCCCATGAAGAGGGTGCTGGTGAACATGAAAGGTTATCTTGAGGAAGTAGGTCACCTCACCAAGCTGAACCCGCAGGACGCCTGGCTGCCCATCACCGAGTCTCGCAATGGGAACGCGCACTACGCGGCCTTTCATAATCTCAACGCCGGCGTCGGGTTTCAGGCGCTGGTTCTGCCCGTTGCATTTTCTTTCCTCGGATGGTATGATTGGAATATTCTTTTAGTATTACTCCAAATTTTCTGGGTTTCTGTTTGCTCCATCCCTATTTGAATCTGATTTTGGCGTTGTTGAGCAGGATAATGATTCAATTTTTTTTTTCTTTTATTTTTGGAATAAGAATAACATATTGCCTTTTATATAGGGGTTTGTTTCTCTATTGAGTACAGGTAAAATTTACTTGTGATCTTTGTCTTGGACTTTTTTGCTCTTTGTCCCTAATTTTAGGTGTTGTTTATATTGTGATATGTTGAACTCAGGCTTTTTATAATTTCTGGTTTTACAGTAGCTTTCGCGTTATTTTGTGCTATTTTCTGAAGTAGAGATCGTCCCTTGTTGATTAGACCTCATATGTTTGCGTCTAACTTCTTACCTTCTTTAGCTAGATTTTAATTTTGATACATTTTTCGTCTGTAGAAAACATTATGCAATTTGACTTTTCTTGTTAAAAAAATCATTATGTTGGATTCTTTGTCTTAATTAATGACTGTTTGCATGTGGTCCCTCCTTGCAATTCTCTTTCGGCTCCTTCAATTTCCTTTTTCTCACTTTCTCCAAATGCTATCATGAACATGATATCAATAAAAACTAACATGTATCCTTAAGCAAATGGTATTCTATAAACTTTTTCTAATATGTAATGCAAAAGTAAATTGAAATTGGGTCCTCCAATCACAAAAGTTCTATGTTTATGTATGAGAATCATGACAATTGCCAGGGTTAATTTTGATTGCCCACTCTGTTACTTAATAATACATGTCTGAATTTTGTATGTGCTCACCTTGATGCATATCTTTGGGATAGCTAATGAATTTTTCATAAATTATAAATCTCAGCATTTCTAACTTGGGTTAATGAGGTGCGCTGTAGTCTTATCTTTTGACTGATTCCCCATTCAATTATGATCCACAAGCAGTTACACATTAAAACCACTCATGGAGTGTGTTTGTCCATTTACTTTGAATGGCTTATCACTTACATCAATCCTGCAATGCATTTATATATTTCTTGGAAGGTAGATGTGGCCATTAAATTCACAAAAAGTTTTTCAAATAAACTTTTGTTTTTTTTGGTAGGAGCTGGGGAATAATATCATTGATCATAGCTTATGTCTGGCAATTATACACTTTGTGGATACTTGTTCAGCTTCATGAGGCAGTCCCTGGAAAGAGATATAACAGATACGTGGAACTCGCTCAGGCAGCGTTTGGTGAGTGCTTTTACTATAGAGTAAGTAGGAAACCAAAACAGAATTGACAAAAGCAAAAGTAAAAATAAAACACAAATATGACTGGCTATATATCTCTTAAAAAAATCATTATGTTTTGTTAAACAGCTGTAATATTATTTGTAATGGGGATGTATAATCCATTTACAAGGCAAAATAAGATAATTTGTTTCACGTATATAGTGAGTTGTTACAAAAGCAGAACTATAAATATCAGTGCCAAATATCTCATTGTTTGCAATATGCGCATCCCTTTATTTGCTGTATAATCGAACACAAGTTGTACATGAGACTACTATTTCAAAGAAGCATTTATTTCGACACAGCCAAAGACATTCTCATCTCAATTTTTACATTAATTCGTAAACAGCAAGCACACATTACTTCCACAGTTGTAACTATCCAAAGTCCAAACAATAGAAATACAAGAAAGGAGACAAAAAAATGTTAGAAACTCACAATAGAAGCTTCACACTCATTCCATACCACGATATATTGATTATATTCCCTACCCAACATACTTAAATCAATCTAATTCTTTTAATATTTTTTTTCAGGCGAGCGCCTAGGTGTCTGGCTTGCTCTTTTCCCAACAGTATACCTATCTGCAGGGACTGCAACAGCTCTAATTCTCGTTGGCGGTGAGACCATGAAATTGTTCTTCCAAATCGTGTGTGGCCCACTTTGCTCCTCAAATCCTCTAACAACAGTTGAGTGGTATTTGGTCTTCACGTCCCTATGTATAGTCCTATCTCAGCTGCCAAACCTTAACTCCATTGCTGGCCTCTCTCTTGTTGGGGCTGTCACTGCCATTACTTACTCCACCATGGTTTGGTTGCTCTCTGTCACTCAATCACGGCCTCCCACAGTTTTGTACCAACCCATCTCAATGCCTACCTTAACTGCTTCTATTTTTTCGGTCTTGAATGCACTGGGAATCATAGCTTTCGCATTCAGGGGCCACAATTTGGTTCTTGAAATTCAGGTTTGTAGTAGTCCCTCTTGATTTAATCAGTATTCTAGTGTATTTTAGCCATATTCAGATCATAAAAACAAAAGAAGTATCCAGATTTTTAGATGTATTGTTGATTTCACCTTGACGTTTGTTTATGGGGGTGGGTACATTTCTTGGACCTAAGAAATTGATTTTTGATGCATATGGCTTTCATATTTTAATAAATTGGGTATAACACAATTTTTGAGAAAAATGGACCGCGAATTTGCCCTATTATGAATTTATGATGTTGCAATTATGGAATTGTTGTCTATTTATACTTTTAGGCAACCATGCCGTCAACTTTCAAGAAACCGGCTCATGTGCCAATGTGGAGGGGAGCTAAGGTTGCATATGTCTTTATTGCTATGTGCTTGTTCCCAGTTGCTATTGGGGGTTATTGGGCTTATGGGAACCTCGTAAGTCTCTCTTTCTTTCTTTCTTTCTTTTTTTTTTTTTTTTATGTCTATCTTCATATTATCAGTAAAAAAAAATTCCTGCTACGGTTTGAATATATGAAACTATTGCTAGAGTTGATGCATGCCAATCTTTTCTCTCACGATGCTCATATCTCAAGGTTAAGAATGATAAAATTTGGAAACCTCAAAAAGCTATCATGTTTCCTTTTTTATGGCTCTAGGAGATAGTTTTTGAAAGAAGTTTATTCTGTTTTATTACCAATTATTATTTGTGTCGAGTTGTTCGCAATAATACTTGTGATACTTTTGCACTTTTCTCTTCTCCTACTTGAGGGCATATGTTTCCAAATTTGGAGAACTAAATTATGCTTCAAGCAACTTTCTCTTTATTAATGTTGGAAAATTGCTTTCTTCATCAACCAATTTATATTTATTAGTTGTAATTTTGATTCCTATCTTAAGCCATTTCTTTGGTAGGTTAATGCAGCTAACTGATGTTGCTGGGACTATTAAAATAGCATTCCTAATCTTTTCCTTAACATTAACAAATCAACCCAACATTTTTGGTCCTACAATTTGCACTCAAGTACCTCAACTCGTCAAAACATACACATTCCTAGGCCTAATTTCGCAAAAAATGAAGTTGTAATTGTAAAAAATGTTCCATATAGTCAACAAAATTTCTTCCCCACACACTCTAAACATTTATTCATTTTCTTTCAAAATGCAGATGCCATCAGGCGGAATTCTAAACGCATTATTTGGATTTCACAGCCATGACATTTCACGTGGCCTTCTAGCCATGCCTTTCCTTCTCGTCGTGTTCAACTGCCTGAGCAGCTTTCAGATCTACTCGATGCCCGTTTTTGACAGCTTTGAGGCCAGCTACACGGGCCGCACTAACAGGCCCTGCTCCATTTGGGTCCGTTCTGGCTTCAGAGTCTTTTATGGGTTCGTCTCGTTGTTTATCGGTGTTGCGCTCCCTTTCTTGTCGAGCCTTGCGGGCTTGTTGGGTGGGCTCACTCTACCAGTCACCTTTGCCTACCCTTGTTTCATGTGGGTTCTTATCAAGAAGCCAGTTAAGTACAGCTTTAACTGGTATTTTAACTGGGCTTTGGGTTGGTTAGGTGTTGCTTTTAGTGTGGCTTTCTCCATGGGAGGTATTTGGAGCATGGTCAGTAACGGGCTTAAGTTGAAATTTTTTAAGCCAAGCTGACAACTTGAGAGAATGTTGTTGTTTTGGGATGTTTTATGTTTCTCTTTGTCTTTTGGATTATTTGAACGATGTTGNGATTGTAAGAGACTTTGCTACAAGACTTCTGTTCTGTGTGTAATTTTATTACCCTGCATCTGAAATTAAGATCTGTGTTTCCTTTTATTACCAGGCATTTCATAGAGGACAAATTTGGAATATGATTGTTCATTTTAAATTTTGACTAGTTTTGTGTAGATGATGCAACCGAAATACTATATGTATTGACACGTGTCTCCTTTATGGAGTCATTGGATGTCTCCTGTATGGAGCCATCCATACCTTTATGTATTGACACATGTCCAATGTGTATTTATTGCAGGATACGTGTTAATACACCATTTGTGGAAAACTATAGATGACTCCATAAGCTGAGCCATCTGATGGCTCCATAGCAAAGCGTGTTATATGTATAATATTTTAAATTAAGTTAGATAATAATATATTACATTTAAAAATTTGATCATAGTAAAAATAAAAAATATAAATATAAACTACATATGTATTACTATATTAATGACATAAAATATAAATAATCACAAAACGTTTATAG